TCTCTCACACACTCGCACGCAATACACACACAGATCACACCTCGTCGGAAATTCCCAGCTATCATCGGCCGCCAGTGGTCCGCCGTCTGCCGCCACCTCCACCGCCCTCCAGACCTTCCTCAGTCACCTAGATCCACAGTCGCTGTAGCCCAAGCACATCATCTCTCTCATGAACACACACACACACACTAACCAGCCGGGACACACACACGACGGCTCACACAGGCACACGGAGACTCCCACACGATAATCCGACACACACGCAGAATGACGAACAGGTAGCTGTCGACGCTCGTCGGTTGCCGTTACGGCCGATGCTCGCAACCTCTGGTCGCCACCGCCCGGAAACCCATCGTCGTCACCGCTGGCAACCGCCCGAACGCCGTCGCGATGTTATTATCCTTATCCGTCGGTGTCCGCCGCATATCCGGTCTGCTCTGTGCTACTCGACAGCGCCGCCGTCGTTGCGCGAGTTCCTTTGCCTGAAAATTTGGGGATGAGCTCGACGGGATAGGAATAGCAGTATACAATCATAAATTCAAAAATAAAATTGATAATAAGTAGACTTGTGTGGTGGTGATGGTGTGGCTAGGCTGAGAGCTTGTCTGTCGGTGTGTGCTCGGAGGTTGACGAGTGAATGACGGGAATAGTAAGTGAGATTTGGTTTTAGGCTTGATTTTGAAAATTTGATAATTATGATGGACTTATTTGAAATTTTATAAATTTTGGTTATTTTCAATTTAACCTTTGGGCCAAATCTACAATTTGTAAAATCTATATAAAAATATGTTTAAATATTATTTACATTTTACCTATATATATTATTTGTTTTCAGTGAAGAATAATATAAAATAATAAATAAAACCTATAAATAAAGCTAAATATATTTTATATTACATATATATAAATTGATAATGCAAATAAAAAACATCCGCTCAATAGATTGCACATTATTGTTAGACTAAGTGCACATTAGTGTATATGAGAATGCACATTATCGTAATCAATATTTTTATATTATGTTTGTTCAACTTTTTTTTTTTGCCGAAACGATAGAGATACTATTATAAATCAAAAGCGCACAAAGTGCGAATAAAAATACAAAGCTCCCAACGGGAGGATAAAATGGGAGGACAGGTCAGAAGACCGCCTAGAATCCCGCTAGCAACGCTAGAACAAAAACTCAAACTACAAAGACCAACTACTCGACCACGACCCCAAAGGGGTAATAAAAACACCACAAAAACATAACAAACAACACGAAGACCCCAACAGGGTAATACCGAGTGTCGGGCCCCAACAGGGTAATAAATAAAATTATAAAATATTAAATATTATTTTATATAAATAATAAAAGATTTCAATTACTTAGAAATTAGGTTAACCTACCGAATAAAACAAATAATTCGGTTTAATTTTAGTTTCGTTTGAAACAAATCATTGACAATGTTTGCGTTGTACAATAATATTAGACGAATTGCAAATTAAGATGTATATTAGTTATAGATTTCAACAGATGCACAATAATATTAGTCGAGTTGCACGTTATTGTCTATCCGAATGCACCTTATCGATTTTTTGTATTTTCAATCATCAGTAATAATATAATAATTAAGAAAATAAGTATAATGCTAAATCTAATTTTATTGATTAAA